CCCCAAAACCCCAAAACCCCAAAACCCCAAAAGAGGCTATTTTGGTTGAACTATGTTTTTAATAGAGGATTATTAATTCTTAGGCACTAATATGGATTGACACTATTAGATTTAGCTTATTTTGTAAAGAATTAGAAGTGATATCCTTTACTTTCTTCAAACTTTTGATGAATAGAGTTTTTTTTAGTGGGTGAATTCCAATCGAAAACAACCGAATTGTTTCTAATTCTTTGTCGTTGGTCTAAAACTATCGATGAGGCCGATCTATCATTGACTCCATATTTGATCTTTTGCATAGTTGTCTAAATATTATTGAAAATAGGCCAGAATAATGTTAAGTCTATAGAAATATTCCTTACAGATATATCAGGAACATTCATGACCTTGTTGCTTCCTCCTGGAGAGGAATCTTCTTTTGAATTGGCTCATTTTCTTTTAAGCTGAAGTATCAATGAAACTATAGAGTCAAAATTAGATTCTTACCAACTAAGATAAAAGTAATCAATATAGTATTCATTAGCATTGTCCAGAGGAATAATGATGTTATTTCTCCAGTCCATGCTTTTTCAGTGTTTATTTGACAGAGGATAATCAAGAGCACAGTGAAGATAAATTCATTCAGAAGCTCAATAATGTTGTTGACCTTATCTTCAAATGGACGAAGAACTAATAAAACTAAGACAAAGATCGCTTGAAATACAACCATCCCAGATACAATAAGTAATTGGCTTAACTCAAGTCAGAACACGAGCCAAATTACAAAGAAATATCTTCTGAATAGTAGCATTGGAGAATAAACTCTGACATATCTTTTCTTCTTTAAGCCTGCGTTAAACTCATCAAGTTTTGATCTCTGAGAGTCAACAATAACTATCACTTCTGGTTCTTGAAGAGCTTGCCTGATTCATATTACAAAGAATAAAATAGTTAATATAAGTACTCCAAATGCAACAGATGTAGAAATAATTCTGAAAGTTCGAGAAAAATTAAAAAGTTTGATCTCAGACATTCAGCTGAATAAAAGATATTGAAATGCCTCAAGAATAAACCTTATATAAACTCCTAACGTGAAGATCTGATATGCCTTCTTGATCAGTTTATTGAATTTAGCTTTAGAGCTTTGTTCGTCATCTTCTTCCTCTTTCCTAGGTAATCAAGATATCATAGCATGAACGATTAAGAGCAAAATCAGGGTGATTACAAATCCAGTGTTATTTACAATCACACTTTGAGACTCTAACCCTATAGTCTGTAGGCTCTCATGCTTTTGTTCTTTATCAAATTTAGAGATCAAGCCATTCTTCTTGACAGAGTCACTGAAAGGCAAAAACTCCATTGTAAATGAAAACATCGAGTTGCCTTTAATGTACTCTTTGATATCAGTTGGAAGATTAGCATTTGTAAGAAGAAACAAAGAAAATAGTTGGAATTGATTAGCTAATATCCATATCGCCATTGGTGAAGAGAATGATAATGCAGAGATGCCAACAGCAACTGAAGCAGCAGCACCAGCTGCTGCTGTTGTAGTTTGACCCATTTGCTTAACTTCTACTGTTACATTGGATTTGAGTCATGTGAGGTCATCTTGCATCGATGATCCATTTTCTCAAACAATTCATTTGTTTTCATCATCTTCTTTTCATTGAACACAATTCTCAACTTGACAAATTTTTGTTCAAATATCAGATGAAGAAATGCTTCCTCCAGAGCACTCAAACCCACTCTCAACCTGACACTGCTCAGATCACCCATCTCCACTCAAATTATTGCCATCATCTCAGTAATTCTCACTTGTATTACCCAAAAATCCTAAATTTAACCTATTATCTTATATACCGTTCAGCCTGATTCCATCCCCACAGAGTTCTTCACAGCTATCTACTGAATCAAAAGCTCCTCCATAACAAACGTAGCCGATTTCTTTAGTGCAAGTTGAGTCTCACCCATCTCCGTTTATTGTGTTTCCGTCGTCACAGTATTCGATATAGTCCTTCTTTCGAGTGACAACAAGACCGTCACCACAAATATCCTGCACTTCTGTTCCATCCCATTGGTATCCAGCTTCTAATGTACAAGTTGAGCTGCATCCGTCTCCACTAATAGTATTGGAGTCATCTCATTGCTCAGGAGTCTCAACTGTCCCATCTCCACAAGTAGCAGCTAAGGATCTGCCTGGAGGAGCTAGAGATTTTAGAAAAAATTCAATAAATTCTTGTAAAATTTTGCTGCAAATATCTTACATAAGGTGTACTTTTCATTCAAGCTTCTCTCGATAGCAGAAGAGGAATTTGAGACTGAGATCTTTTGAATAATACTGTCCTGTAAACAGAAATTTAAGTGATAAAGAAGGCAAGGAAGAGAGAGAAGGCTAATTTACCTTTTCATGTTCGAAAAGTCCACTTTCTGCATTTCTATAAAATAAAAGTTTACTTCTGTTTCCAAAAATAAAAAGATATCTTGTTGGAGATGGAAAATATTCTTAACTAAGTTATTTTCAAGGCGACAAAGCTGGTAATCATCAAGTTTATCATAAGCTACAATATGAAGTAGCCTTAATGCTTTAAATGAAGACTTACCTTAAGCTTTCACTCTCTTGTGCTATCTTTGCAAGACTGAAAGCAAGTCCAATGAGGACTAAGATTACCAATATTTTGACCTATATTATCATTATCCTACTATGGAAGTATTTTTAGTCTTCTCGGTTCCATTTTCATAAATTCTTGACACTTTTGGAACGGAGATTCTCGAAAAGAAAGAATCTTGAGCAGTTTTTTAATTAAATTTAATTGAAGACTAGTTCATTCTCAATTAGTTCTAAGTCCTCTTTTGCAATTTTGAAGAAGATAAAGAAACTATTTGATGAAGAGATATGAAGAAAGTAGGAAATAGTTGATTGGTTTTTATTGTTTGCAAGAAGAGATACAGAAAGAAAGATATTATTCAGCTAAATAGAACAAATCTAAATATTTCATACTAAGCTCTGGTTGTTTCTGTCTCACCGGGCTTGGTCAGACTCATGTTTCTTTAGAAAATTAGCCGTTACCACCACTCCTCCCTTCAAACTCCATCCTTCCCACCCCCTAACCCCCAAAAATCCCTTCTCTACTCCAAATCCCCAATCTCACACACTTTATCCTCCTTCTAGCTCAAAATCCGAAAGTGCCATCAAGTCACGAAGAGACTTACCATTTAGGCTATGAAGAGATTCTTGAGTTTTATAATATTATTGTGTAGCTGTAGTTCAGGGATTTATACGTGAGATGGGGTTTTGGGGTTTTGGGGTTTTGGGG